TAGCATGCTACAGATTCATCAGATCATAAATAGTTAGTGGAGTCACCCAAAGAAAAAATAAATTAAGCTCTGTGGTTTTATCAATTAGCAATAACATTGTTGCTCCATTAAAAAAATGTTTGCCTACCTTCTCCGTGCTTGTCAGTGAACTGGAAAGCTTCAACCAATCTTAATGTTTCTTCAACAGAACGTCCCACTGGTAGGTCATTTACTGTAATCTGTCTGACAACTCCTACTTGATCAATAATAAACAAACCCCTGAAAAATAAACAACCCCCTGAAATATAAACAACCCTATAATAAACAAGCCCTGGGCTATGAACAATCCCAATAATAAACAAAGCCAATAGAATATAAAATAAATAAACCCCAATAATAAACAAAGCCACTGGAATATAAAATAAATAAACCCCAATAATAAACAAAGCCACTGGAATATAAAATAAATAAACCCCAATAATAAACAAAGCCACTAGAATATAAAATAAATAAACCCCAATAATAAACAAAGCCACTGGAATATAAAATAAATAAACCCCAATAATAAACAAAGCCACTGGAATATAAAATAAATAAACCCCAATAATTAACAAAGCCACTGGAATATAAAATAAATAAACCCCAATAATAAACAAAGCCACTGGAATATAAAATAAATATACCCCAATAATAAACAAAGCCACTAGAATATAAAATAAATAAACCCCAATAATTAACAAAGCTACTGGAATATAAAATAAATAAACCCCAATAATAAACAAAGCCACTGGAATATAAAATAAATAAACCCCAATAATAAACAAAGCCACTGGAATATAAAATAAATAAACCCCAATAATTAACAAAGCCACTGGAATATAAAATAAATAAACCCCAATAATAAACAAAGCCCACCTTAAAGCTATGCCTTCCTCTTCTAATAAAACATCATATTCTTTTGATATTTCTTTACTAAAATCTGATAGTAGGGGATACTTTAACCCTCCAAGACCACCTGACTGGAAAATACAAACAGTTTTATTTTGGTCCACTCATAGGAATGATAAAAGATTGCTGTTTGTCAGGATCCCCAAAAAAAACAGGTTATTTTGACTCACAAATTGCTATGTTACAGTACTTACATTATGTTGGACAGTGCTGGTATCATAACATAGTCTTATTCAAGGGTCTTATTACACATGTTTTCAAGATATTTATAAAAATTATAAACCAACCTTCCTGGGCATATTGATCCAAGCAAGATGGCTGAAATGTGAGTCTGTAGATACACCAACCACCTCTGTATTTAATGCATGAAATTTATCGATGTTATCACTAAACGCGATAATTTCTGTTGGACACACAAACGTACTGAAATAAGATCGTCAAAATATGAAACATGTCTTCAGAATGATTTGACTGAGAGGGAAGATGAAAGACAGGCCTTTATGTTGCTACTCAGCAAGGGTGTTCATTTCGCCATTTTGCAGATTTGGCATGCCCAAAATGTCAGGCTTCCAGTGGATATCAAGTATAGGTCCCATATTGACCAATCTGTTCATAGATAATGCCTTTTGTAACCTTTTCTTGCGTAAATAAATTAATAATGCATAGCCTAAATTTGACCCTTTTTCAATAATTATTTCTGGCAATTTCTGCAATATCTGGGTGTTTTTGCCTACTGTTTTAAAATTCCAACTCCCCCATCTAAACAAGTTTTCCCCTGTCAGCACCCTTGAGTGTAAAGCTGTCATTAAATACTCACAAATCTAGAGGGTAGAAAAACAGAACAAGATATTTTCCACGGAAGTCTGAAAGTTGGATATTCTTAAACTGACCATTGACTACAGCTTGTCCAGAAAAATCTGGGGCTGTCTGCTGGATCCGAGGTGACCATAATGACCCACCTGATAATATAAATCGGAAGCCATGAAGACAACATTACAGTGTTAAGGCTCACCCCTCAAGGTAAGAAAAATTTATTTTAATTTTAAAGCGTTTTCAAGAAAGAGGTCAATAACTCCTATAAAACAATTGTTTTTTTTGGGGATTTTGATAGGGTTCATCCATGGGTGATAATAAACAGTTACACCAAGTTTCTTCAATATTCGCCAAGAATTGTGCCTCCTAGAGTGTTTACAAGCTAGAAATCAAACGAGTTTCCAAGCACAAAGGCAATTACTCATACTTGTTATTTTTCAATTCCTCAGATTTTCAATAGGTTTCATCCTTGGGTGATTACGAACACTTTTGTCAAATGTAGAGTGTGGACGGACGGACATGGGTGACAGCAATATACGCCCCCCAATTTCATGTGGGCGTATAAAAATGAAGTCTAAGATCATCAGACCTAGCTGGGTTTTACTATATAGAGTATGATATATAGACACAGCTTTATGTAACAACAATCACTGGTTAAAGTAAATGAATTAAAAAAGATTAATTGAAGATTAAATAAACAACTATTGCTGGTATTGGAGTCTTTTATTAATAGAAATTACATTGTTCATATAACTAACTATGCTTAAAGTTGGAAATTGTTTTGAATATGAATAATTACAAGTTGATAAGTTTATCATATGCATGCGATAAACGAACACCTTCATCTCTGTTAAGGTCAGGCTGATATCTTCTGATGTGGATAGCTTCATGAAGTCTCCTGGTTTTATCTATGTGCTTATTGATTGTCAGTATGTTGGTGTTGTCAAAGTTGACTTTATGTCCTGTTTTCCTTCCCATAGCAAGATGTTCAGCCACAGCAGATGTTCCTTCATTGCCGGGCTTGTCTTGATGGTCTTTGAGTCGAACATCAAGGGGTCTCTTTGTTTCCCCTATATACGAGCTTCCACAGGAGCACTCAACTTGGTAGACACATCCCTTAGGTTTTTGGTTGTTGGAGGGATTCAATTTACCACTGGCTCTGAGCAAATCTTTAAGCGTTGAGTTGCCAGAGAACACTGTTTCAATGCCGACTGACTTTTTCAGGAATCTATATGACAGCCTTTGAGGAAAAGACCATGGAAACCTCTCCGATCTCACCAATCTGCTGGTTCCGGAAAGTTGATGACACCTTTGTCATGCTTAGAGCTGAAGATTACCCATCAGCTCTACTTCAGCATCTTAATGCTCAGCATAAGAGGATCAATTTCACCATGGAAGCAGAAGAAGATGACTCTATACCCTTTCTGGATGTGAGAATTAAGCGGTTAGGCGGTCAGTTGAAGACATGCGTGTATAGGAAACCTACACATACAGATCAGTATGTGAACTACCATTCCAACACCCCTCAACATGTCAAAAGGGCAGCCATCACAGCGCTGGTCAGAAGAGCTAAAAGGATTTGTGACCCAGAATACTTTCAACAAGAATTACAACACATCAAGAAAGTATTCTGCTTGCACAACAACTACCCTCCAGCCTTTGTACATCAAGCTTTTCGATCCGTATTAATGGCAAAACCAACCAACCAACAGCCTAATCTCAACAGACCATCAACCCGCTTAGCTATCCCATTCATCTCATACCAAATCAAGAAGATCCTGAAAAAGTCAGTCGGCATTGAAACAGTGTTCTCTGGCAACTCAACGCTTAAAGATTTGCTCAAGGAGTTAAATTTTCCATAACAGACAGAGATAAAGTTTGCTAATGGAGACTTAATCTGTCTAGATCTCTGTGTCTGTCAAAAACATAATAATGTTTCACTTGAAACTTAATTCTAGTAAAAATTTACTACAAAAAGGGACATAATTCATGATAAATCAATTTTCAATAAATTTCAAATTTAAATATCAACAGAGAAACTGACCTGAAATACACTGAATACAAAATATTGACAATTCACAGCAGAATTCGTATTTCTATAGAATAAAATATAAAACCCCTCCAGAATATTATATAATAAATAAAATAGGCTTATTATATACCAATTTTTATTTTTCACTACAATCGTCTGCCTATATATAATTGTTTCTCTCTATACTAAATAGCAATACTATGACAGCATGTCCCTGATACCATTATAGGCAAAAACCCTAACTAAACTAAACTAAAAAGAAAATAAAGAAATACCGCTGAAGTCAGAGAAAATACGATGTATATCTATAGTCCCTGACGCAATGTTAACGGGGATCAGCATGCTGTTACAGTATTGTTTTATAACATATCTTAAGTTTCTTTGAATCTTTTCGTTGTATCAACATGTTGTGATGTTTGGCCATGGTAAAACTAAGTTTAATAAATAGCAACATCGGGTGGTTTCAACCCAGGGTGGTTTACCCCAGGGTGGTTTTACCCCAGGGTGGTTTTACCCCAGGGTGGTTTTAACCAGGGTGGTTTTACCCCAGGGTGGTTTTACCCCAGGGTGGTTTATACTGGTTGAAATATGTGATTTTGAGCACCCAAAACTGTTCTTTTGCAAGAATTGTTTTGTTTTTCAACTTTTCACCTCTACAAGATCCTTTGTATCTTTTTGTTGTGATGTTAATGATAGTTAAAGTTTTATATACGATTCAGATACAAACTGACACTTCAGACCAGGGCTGCTGATATATTTTTTCTCAATCGGACCTTTTTCAACGGATGTTTTGTTGGTAATAAGACACTACTCTAGGACTATTAGTATCCTACTGTAACTGTATTTTTAATATAACGAATGAGTGGTAATAATTATTATAACTGGTATTTTTACTTTCATTACATTTTAACACTGTCATACATCACATTACAAAAACAAATATAAAGATAGTGGACCACAGCCATATACGCCCACCACGGCATGAGGATGGTAAATATTCAAGATTTTTGGGCAAGGGCAATAACTCTGCTTCTAACAGTTCAAAATAGCTCAAATTCGAACTTGATCTTTGTTTTACACATACCGAATTTCATTTGATTCCATAAAAAAATCTAGTTTTAGAGCGTTTACAAGCAAATGTTGACGGGCGGACAGACCGACTGATGGACAGGGGTGCCAACAATATACGTCCACAAAGAGAGATGTGGGCGTATAAAAAAGGTAACATTTGTTATTTACAATGGTAGCCCGTGAAACCAAAGGGGATATTGCATGTTCGAAAATATTGTTTGCCCTCTTCTCCTCTGACGCTTTTCCGTGATGGTATTCCCACACTTATGTTTATAGTTGAAATTTATATCTATAGTCAAAACAAATTTACTACAAAAAGGGGACATAATTCATGATAATTCAACTGTTAATAATTTTAAAATTTTAAACATGAACAGAGAAACTGAGAAGTACCGAATATTCTAGAGTGTTTAAAAGCTGAAAATTTAATGTGTTTTCAAGCACAAGGGTAATTACTCATACTTATTATTTTTCAATTCCTCTGATTTTCAATAGGTTTCATTCTTGGGTGATTACGAACACTCACACCAAATTTTGACAAATGTAGAGTGTGGACGGACGGACAGACATGGGTGACAGCAATATACACCCCCCCATTTCATGTGGGCGTATAAAAATGTCTAAGATCATCAGACCTAGCTGGGTTTTACTATATAGAGTATGTTATATCTAGCTGATTATAAACAAGTTACTATTATAGACGTTGTAGTCAAACAGATATAATATTATGAACAAGGATTGTTATTCAACGCTTTTATTCAACAGTCTTATTGTATATTAAATACTACAGGCCTCTATCATTCACTACCTTTCACATTGAAATCTATCTGTCATTTATATAATTATTTCATCCTGATAAAATTGGTAAGGAGTTAAATCTTCCATAACAGACAGAGATAAAGTTTGCTAATGGAGACTAAATTTGTCTAGATCTCTGTGTCTGTCAAAAACATAATAATGTTTCACTTGAAACTTAATTCTAGTAAAAATTTACTACAAAAAGGGACATAATTCATGATAATCAATTTTCAATAAATTTCAAATTTAAATATCAACAGAGAAACTGACCTGAAATACACTGAATACAAAATATTGACAATTCACAGCAGAATTCGTATTTCTATAGAATAAAATATAAAACCCCTCCAGAATATTATATAATAAATAAAATAGGCTTATTATATACCAATTTTTATTTTTCACTACAATCGTCTGCCTATATATAATTGTTTCTCTCAATACCAAATAGCAATACTATGACAGCATGTCCCTGATACCATTATAGGCAAAAACCCTTACTAAAAGAAAATAAAGAAATACCGCTGAAGTCAGAGAAAATACGATGTATATCTATAGTCCTTGACGCAATGTTAACGGGGATCAGCATGCTGTTACAGTATTGTTTTATAACATATCTTAAGTTTCTTTGAATCTTTTCGTTGTATCAACATGTTGTGATGTTTGGCCATGGTAAAACTAAATTTAATAAATAGCAACATCGGGTGGTTTCAACCCAGGGTGGTTTACCCCAGGGTGGTTTTACCCCAGGGTGGTTTATACTGGTTGAAATATGTGATTTTGAGCACCCAAAACTGTTCTTTTGCAAGAATTGTCTTGTTTTTCAACTTTTCACCTCTACAAGATCCTTTATATCTTTTTGTTGTGATGTTAATCATAGTTAAAGTTTTATATACGATTCAGATACAAACTGACACTTCAGACTTATTTTTTCACAATCGGACCTTTTTCAACGGATGTTTTGTTGGTAATAAGACACTACTCTAGGACTATTAGTATCCTACTGTAACTGTATTTTTAATATAACGAATGAGTGGTAATAATTATTATAACTGGTATTTTTACTTTCATTACATTTTAACACACTGTCATACATCACATTACAAAAACAAATATAAAGATAGTGGACCACAGCCATATACGCCCACCACGGCATGCGGATGATAAATATTCAAGATTTTTGGGCAAGGGCAATAACTCTGCTTCTAACAGTTGAAAATAGCTCAAATTCGAA